GCAATTTACAAAAAAAAAAAAAAAAAAAAAAAAAAAAAAAAAGAACATGGTTTTACCTTTAATATTAAAAATAAAAAAATTTATTTATTATCTAATTTTTTTTTTTATTAAAAGCTTATTTCTCTTTTCTTTTTTTTTTAATATATATCTAATTAGATTTTTTATATAATTTTAACTTTCTTACTTTTTTTTTTTTTTTAAAAAATTATTTAATTTTTGTTACTTCTCTAACTTAATTAAAAATATATACAGTATATTATTAAGTTATAAAAAATTAAGCATTAATTTTTTATAAAATGATGATTTTTATTAATAGCAGCTTATACTTTCTGCTTTAAAAAACCTGAATTAATATTATATGCAGTATATGTAATGTGCTTCACTTGGTAGATATTTTATATTCTTCTTGCATTATTAAACACTTAATAAAATTTATACAGTAATTAATAATTTTTGAGCTCGAAGAAATACTACTTCAGTTTCTTATACAAAGTAGCTCTTCTAGCCTATAGCACCATTCTAAAGGTCAGAATATACCTTATTTCATTTTTGAAGAGCTTAATCCTTTTACAAATTGACCTAACTTTGTTTTCCCAGGAGCTTTTATGAACTTCAACCATATTGAGCAGGTAAGACAGTCTGGAAAAAGTAACAAAATGTTTTTAATAATACGTTCAAAAAAAATTTTTTTTTAAAAAATAGCTTCCAAGAATGTGTTCGACTATTAGTGATTATATATTGTCGCAGTAGATCATACACCCCAATTGGGTAATAGTATTTATACAGTAATACGTAAAAATGCTGGAATTCAACGTCATCTTAGCGTTAATACTGTAATTGATTTTTTTTGAAATTCTCTAAAATGGAAGCTGTAAATCAAACGCCTGAACATTCCACTATATATGAAGAAACAACCAGGACACCTTATACAATCGTTCGGTTGAAACGTAAACGCAATGCTGAACCTTTGGACGCACTTGGTACCCATATCATATTTGTTTCAAAAGTTTAATAAGCTTTTTCTAATCGCTAAAATTTCCACAGTTGTCCAGCAACAACTCGTAAAGAAGCCGAAACGGCAAGGCAGTCTTCCAAAAGATATGAAATTGGTTGAGGAACAAAAACAGAATGGTAACGTTTTTTTTTCTTTTTGATTTATAAAGCATTTGCAAAATTAAGTTGCTTTTAATGAATAGAAGGCTCGTCATTACCTTTCGTTTTCCGATTTGCGGAGACAGTTGATGAGATTAGTTTTAATGATTCAACAAAGTCACAGCAATTGAAAGTATGTTGTTCACATTGAACATAGATATATTCTAAAATCAAAGTATTACAATAACGGTTCTGTTGGTTTTGTAGGATCGCATTACAAAATTAATCAATCGCAAAGATAAGGTGCGACCAAAAGAACGTAGTATAAAACAGATTC